ATAACAGGTAAACACTACCTCAACGACGATTGCAAAATCGGATTTCAGTATTTCGGAGTCTCTGAGGCCACGTGAGTAGAGTATGTTGAAGAGTTCTAATCCATCCATTTTTTTAAATCTTCTGAAGCAAAGTTGTACATTTACTGACCAGTAATTTTTTTGAAAATCCATATACTAGATATTCCATAGAATTGACCCAAGTCCAATACTGATGCAGATAAAAATTACGAATAGAACGAAAATGTCCTTATTGTTTTTTCCATTTTCATATTTTGTACTGAAGTCTGCAATATTTTTATAAAAAATTTTATACCCTACCAACCAGGTGTTTTTTGTAATTTATGTACAGGATGTTTCGTAAAACTTACACAGGTGGACTAGATTTTTCCTTATTCATTTTTTTAAATCCATATACTAGATGTTCTATAGAATTAAGGGCAGTTTTGTTTATTTTCACTTTTAGCTTTGTCTTTATTTACTACAGTCTTATAATGAAAATTTGTATATCGCAGGTTTTAGAACTTGTACGTGAAGGTGGTACACACGGTATTCAAAATTTTATAAAGTAATAAACCGTCAAATACGGCTACTTCTTAAAGCCAGCAAAAGTTTTGATTCAGTTGGAACTAAGCGTAAACTGGAAACTAATATCGGTCACTTAAAACGAATCAAAATTTTATTAAAATCAAATTCGGAACATGAAGGGGCGGGGCATAGAGATAAGCGTAGTCGTCGAGTACGCTGGGTGGATGTAAATTCTGCATTTTCGAGCCGCATACGATCTGGTTTGATTATAAATTTAAAACATAAAGACATTAAAGCATTCTTAAATGACGCGTTTTTCTTGTTTAAGAACAGAATATTGAGAATTCTGAAAACTCATCCAACCATAAAGGTTAACGCTACTTTCTGTGGAGAATTTATTAAAGCCAAACCTAATTCAAACGAAACAATTTCAGAATTTAAATATTTCAATACAAAAAATGCAGGCATTGATGCAGGAACAGATCTTAATGTCTGGTTTCAGGAGCACGTAGCTGATAAGATTAACAACAAACTGGAAGAGTTCCAGGAAAAAGATAGTGGGTGGGCTTTAAATAAAATTATTAGTTTAGAAATAAATATTAATAAATTTGAAATGGGTCACGGGGTCTCGTCTTTTATCAAACTCCCCGAGGTAATTGCAAAGAAACATGCTTGTGTTAATGTTAAAAATTATGGTGATGACGCCTGCTTCGCTTGGTCTATTGTTTCGGCACTTTATCCAGTTGATAACCATGTAGATAGAACATCATCATACCCTCATCCTTCAACTGTTCTGAATTTAGATGGAATTGATTTTCCGATGCAACTTTCGCAGATTACTAAATTTGAAAAAAACAACGACATATCTGTTAATGTTTATCAATTAAAGTTATCCGGGAAGAAAAAATTTAATGTAGAACCTGTCCGGTTAACCACAAATAAGCGCATACGTCACGTTAACCTGTTAATAGTTCAAAATGTTTATTTCGATGAACGTAAGGAGGAAAGTAGCAGCGAAGACGTAGAAATTAAGTATCATTTTTGTTGGATAAAAAATTTATCTAGGTTAGTTTCTTCTCAATTAAATAAACACAAGAATGCTAAATATATTTGTGATATTTGCTTAAATTATTTTAGTACTGAAACTGCATTAGATAGTCACACTGAAGATTGCTCTAAAATTAATAAATGTAAGATTACCTTTCCGGAGGAGAAATCTCTATCTTTCAAAAACCACAGATACAAGGAAAAGGTACCTTTCATTTTATATTGTGATTTTGAGTCCATGTTAGAACCTTTCACCGATCAGCAACGGCATACGTCAACCAAAAAATATCAAAAGCATACCGCAATTAGTGCAGGTTTTTATTTCAAGTGTTCGTATGATGATTCTTTATCGTTTTACGCTAGCAATAGGGGCCTCGGCTGCATCGAATGGTTTACTGAGCAACTTGAAAACATGGCAAAAGTTATTGATGATAAATTGAAAACTGTAGTACCCATGAATATTTCACAGGAACAGTCATTACAGTTTCTTTCTGCAACACACTGTCACATTTGTGAGAAGCCATTTGAAGCAGGCACCAAAAAAGTAAGAGACCACTGTCATTTTACTGGAACCTACCGGGGGCCTGCACACGAAAGCTGCAATCTAAATTATAAAAATTCTTTCACCATACCTATAGTATTTCATAATCTGACCGGATATGATTCACATTTTTTGATTAGAGACTTAGCAAAAACCGGCAATATTACTTTGCTTCCCATCAATAAGGAAAAATATATTTCTTTTACAAAGTCAACATCAGATTCCCCGGTAAAGTTTCGTTTTATCGACTCCTTTAGGTTTATGGCATCATCACTAGATACTCTATCATCATATTTAAAGCCAAACGAGCTTCAAAATTTATGTAAAGAATTTAACATGTTAGATGCGGAAACATTTACTTTACTTACGAGAAAAGGAGTATTTCCTTATGACTATATAGACTGTGAGGAGAAATTAAACGAAACAGAACTGCCCGGCATTGATAAGTTTTATAATAAATTAAACGATAGTAACATATCCAATGATGATTATGAACATGCTAAGAGGGTCTGGGCTAAATTTAATATATCAACTTTAGGACAATATTCTGATTTATATATGAAAACGGACATTTTACTTTTGGCAGATGTCTTTGAAAATTTTAGACAAAAATGTTTGAATATTTATCAACTGGACCCTGCTAATTACTATACACTCCCCGGATATACGTGGGACTGTATGTTAAAATATACTAAAATCGAGCTGGATTACTTAAAAGACGTGGATATGTTGCTGTTTATGGTTGCGGCATCAGAGGCGGTGTTAGTCAATGCTGTAACCGCTATGCTGAAGCAAACAACAAGTTTATGTCTTCTTATGACTACTCAAAGCCATCAAAGTATTTAATGTACTTTGACGTAAATAACCTTTACAGTTGGGCTATGAGCAAATACCTTCCATATAGTGGGTTCGAGAGGGTAAATCCCAACATCGACGTAACGACGGTATCTGACACGTCGTCTGAAGGATACGTCCTCAAGTTGACTTGGAATATCCTGAACATCTACACGATGAGCATAAAGATTTACCTCTATGCCCCGAACACCTCACACCTCCAAATTCAAAATTACCGAAACTTATGACAACCTTGTATCCAAAATCACGCTATATAATTCATTATCGTAATTTAAAGCAGGCTTTATCCTTGGGGTTAAGCTCATCAAAATTCATCGCGTATTGAAATTTAAGCAAGCCGATTGGTTGAAGACCTACATCGAGTTAAACACCAAACTCCGCGCTCAGTCTACCAACGAGTTTGAAAAGAATTTATACAAGTTGTTAATAAATGCCATTTTCAGTAAGACGGTGGAGAACATAAGAAAGCATCGCATTATCAAGTTAAAGAATCATTGGGATGGGCAGTGGGGTGCAAAACATTTTATAGCTAGCCCAAATTTCCATAGTAGCAAAATTTTTGGTGAAGACCTAGTAGCAATTGAATTAAACAAATCGGAAATTTGCTTCAACAAGCCCCTATATGTTGGCATGTGTATTTTAGATATATCTAAAACTTGTGTATATGACTTCCACTACAGTTTCATGTTATCAAAATTAGGTGATGACTGCAAATTGCTTTATACAGACACCGACAGTCTCATATGTCAAGTAACCTGCGATAACGTTTACGATCTTTTAATTCAAAATTTAGACAAATTTGATACTTCAGATTATGAGCCTAATAATAAATATAATATACCTTTAGTTAATAAAAAAGTACCAGGCTTAATGAAGGATGAATGCTGTGGGGCAATAATGACGCATTTTGTTGGGCTCCGTTCTAAAATGTACAGCATCGTAATAGACGGCAAATCTACTATTAAAAAATCTAAAGGAGTTAAAAAGAATATAGTTAAAAATTCCATCACATTTGACGACTACAAAAACTATTTAGATAATAAAACTGAACTCTATCGCAAACAGAGAACCATTCAGTCAACTTTACATAACGTTTTTTCAGTAGAGCAAACAAAACTAGCTCTAAGTGCAGCTGATGATAAACGTTTTTTATTAAACGATAGCCATGACACATTACCTTGGGGGCATTATTCAATAGATAGTATTGCTACGCTATTCCAGCCTCTACAACTCTACTAGTCCGAAGTCAACAAATATAGCTGGAAAGGCAGCAACTCTTAATCTCAGGGATGAATTTGTCTGTCAGTTAGAGCACACAAGGTTACCTGTGAAAAGGAAGTTATTAATAATCTGTGTTTGCCTATCGTTCACTGCAGGGACTGATGAAAAAGAAACTTACAGGTTACTCTGTATGTCATTTACTAGTCATGTAGAGAATCAATGAGATATATAAGGTTGAATGTCAAATGTATATCACAAATATTGTTAGTTATATCCCCCAAAGTGCAATTGCAAATTGTGTACAGTTAGCTAATTTTATAAATCTAAAAACCTTAAATTAAAATCATCCAATTAACTAAGCACTCCAATACAAATAAACAGTGAAGGATTTAGAAGCCAGGTACTTATCTTAAAACGAGGTGTTAAAACTAGGTTCCTACGACGAGTACGGTGGTTCCTTGCTAGCTCTTTATGAAACTAAAGTGGTGTCGGTGTTCTAAATATCAACAAGTGTCTTGTCTCAGAATAGCTGTCAACTAAGCGAGGTTATGTCTCTCCACTCCAGTGTTGGTAACCTTTGTCAATGACATTTCCCTACCTTCTAGTCAAAATTCCCCTACTTTCCCCTACGTTACCTTGAAATTTGCCGCCATCACTAGCAGAATTTAAAAGAAGTTCAAAAATGTAGTTAAATTAAATACACGTTAAAAATAAAAAATAGATTTATTCCTTTACAAATAAAAAACAACCAGAAACATAAATATGTATTTACCTAACAATGAATAGGTTTTGTAAATAAAATTAACCAAGATTTTATAATAAACAATTAGTTTTTGTGATCATATAAAATATTTGAATTTATAGAAATCTTATTAAAGTCAAATTGATAAGTTGTGCAGTTTAACTCTTTACTTTTCAAGAAGCTTCTTATTGTACATATAGAATTCAAAACTTCATGGGACAATTTGTTTCTCTTTTTTGTTTTAATATCAGTCACGTCAGAGAAAATGCGCTCAGCATCAGCGTTGGAGTGAGGTAAAGTTAAACATTTTTTATATAATAAGCTTAAATTTGGAAAAACTAATTTATCTTCAAAATTTTTAATTTTTGAAATATCCCACCAAAACTCTTCAAGAGATTTTTTTAAATAAATTTCTCGTTCCAAGTTATCAAATTGGAAAGGCATACCTCTCCATTCTAAAACCGTTTCATTCAAATCAACTTCATATTTTTCACAAAGAGCAGTAAAATTTATACACCGGTTGTTATTATTGGTGTCTAAAGCTATATTTGGATTTAGAAAACGAAGATTTTCAAAAAAATTGTTCTCATGAATAGGCAGCCTTTTTTGAATTTCACTACAAGCAGTTTTATAGAAATTAAGGCAGTCTAATCTTATTTTATGAGATTCAGTATTTGGTAATGTATTTAATAAATTATTGCAGTCAGCTCCTAAAAATATGTCGCTTATATTCAGGTAATTACTTGGATCATTAACATTAACGTTGGGATGCAGTTTTTCAGGTTTTAAAAAATTCTGTCCTAATGTAAGAAATAATTTTTTTGAAGCGTTATACAATTCAACAACTAGAGGCTTTTTGGACTGGAACAGTGCATTTAATGTGTTGAAGTAATTCAATACATATTTTAAAAATAGCAAATAGGCCTTATTGCACACATTTTCTAAATCCATTAAGATCAATTCTGCAGATTTCAATTTATCATCTACCTGTGCCACTCGAAAAAAGCTAATTAATACGTCCCAATTTTCCAATATACGATTAATACATTGATGGAGTGATAGCCATCTAGTTGAGGCAACTTTCAGAATTTTCTTCTTTTCTTTATTAAAATATTCTTGTATTTCTTCTAACTGGGCACATCTCTTAGAACTATTAGATAAATATGTTGATATTTGACGTAATAACTCCTCCGGTGCTCTAGGTAAATTAACACAAGCTTTATTAGCAATAATGGCAGATGTATGACAAATACATCGTATTACTGTAACGTTTGGAACCTCAGAAATCAATCTTGAAGCAAAGGAATTATTAGCACCTAACATTACACTCGCACCATCACTAGCTAGTCCGATTATATTTTTCAAAGGAATGTCTGCTTCGGTTAATACTTGTCTGAAGTGTATGTATAAATTTTCAGCTGTACAGTCTTTAGCATCTAATTTTATTAAGTCCAATAACTCTGTTTTTACAAACCCATTTGATGGATGGACATATCTAGTTAAAAGGCACATTGTTTTTTGCAACCCAATGTCAGTACTTTCATCTACCATAACAGAAAAATCTGTAGTTTTCAAAACATTAATGAGATCATTTCGTATTGCAACAGCAATTACATTTTTGATAACACCTGTACACTTCTTACGACCAAGCGCTGCTTGTTGTACAATTTTTGAATCTGGTACTATTTCTTTAAGAAGTGGAACCAAATGGTCGACAACTTGTAAAGCTACATTATGTTCTGCAAAAAATGTACTAAGCCTAACTTCAAAATTTTGTACTTTTTTAACTTCATTTTCATTTTGCTTTTTAATAAAATAACTAGTTAATGATGTATTTGACTGAATAGAAGTCACCTTCTCCATGTGTTTTTTTCCTCTACTGTGTTTTAACAATTCTGATTTTCCACATACAATTTTAGAATTACATGCTTTACATTTACACATATATTGATCACTGGCAATTTTTTCTAGCCAACCCCTGAATTCCGGTAATTGCAACCAATCATCAGAAAATTTTTGTTTTCTATATTTCTTTTTCCTTCTTGAGTCTTCTTTTTCGTCTTCACTTTCACTGTTTTCAGAACTAACTGGAGTAACTGGTCTCTTCTTTCTTTCAAAATCCTACATCATAAATAAGTTATTTTATTTGGTAATTTATCTTTATCTTGTATTTGCACTTACCATTATTGTTTTCACTTTTCACACGCAAGTCTCCAGTCATAGAAAATTTATGTCTCCAGTCTCTAATTTGACATTTAACCTAACATCTAACAAACTAAAACACAGACACGACCACAGAACTACAAAACACAAAACATACTATAGTCAGAGACACTGTTATAGTACGAAAGTATTCGCGAATGCAGCTAAGAGCTCGCCCTCTGGCGGTGACAAGTGATACTAGCGAAACAAGGTAAATATTTCTTCTGTGTGTGACATTTCGTTTTGTATTTTATTTAAAACTGAATTTAATGTTCGTTTTTTGAACACTGTTATTTTAAGAAAATAGTGTGAGGAAAATTTCAGCAATTATGGATAGAAAGAAGAAACTGTCAAACTATTATTGTTCAGTTCAAGGTTGCTCTTCATACTCGTGGACATCTTGAACCGTCTAAACATAGACGTTATGGCTGTCCAGGAGACCTACCTCAGCGAGGCATCCCGTACCTCCATCCCTGACTATGACATATACCGACATGACAGAAACCGTAACGGGGGTGGTGTTGCACTCATAGTAAAGAAGTGCATCGACCACTATCCGCTGCAGCGGCTCCAAACTCAAAACACAGAGGCCGTGGCGATAGCGGTGAGATCGCTACGGCATGGAGACGTTGCGGTGGTGTCCTGTTACCACCCACCCAGACTACCACTACTTGACAATGACTTAGACAAAATCCTTTCCTGGCCCCAGACAATTGCCATCGGGGACTTCAACGCGAAGTCCCCCATATGGCACAGCGGGACGACGACCACAAGAGGTCGCGTCCTGCTGAATTACCAAGACAGACACGACGACTTGACTATACTCGGACCGACAGAA